CTCTCTTGCGTGGATTACAGCCTGGATATACAAAATTTTGTTGTTTTCTGTGTGAGTGGGATAGCACAGATAGGGAAAGGCATTACATTAAAATAATCTGGCCAAACAGTAAAATCTTTACTCCAGGATATAAAAATATTGCAAATCTACCCCTGATCGATTCAGAAAATATTTACTTACCACCATTACACATTAAACTGGGATTAATGAAGAACTTTGTCAAGGCAATGGATCGAAATGCCAGTGGATTTGCCTACCTAAAACAAAAATTTTCTAGTAAAAGTGAAGCGAAGATTAAAGAAGGCATTTTCGTTGGACCTCAGATTCGAGAATTGCAGCAGGATGGAAATTTTCAAAATAGTTTGAATGAAGTTGAAGCAGCAGCATGGAATTCCTTTAGAAACGTTTGCAAAAACTTCTTAGGAAGTGTCAAGGTTGAAAATTACCGAGACATAGTTAATGATCTGTTGCTTTCCTACAAGATACTGGGATGTAACATGCCCTTCAAGATCCATTTCCTGCATTCACATCTAGATTTCTTTCCAGACAATCTTGGCGCAGTTAGAGATGAGCATGGTGAGTGTTTTATCAAGCTATATCAAGCATGGAGAAGTGGTACCAAGGTAAATGGAGTCCCGCTATGCTTGCCGACGACTGCTGGGCACTCAAGAGGGATCTACCACAAGCAAAGTATAGAAGAAAATCCACTGTCACTGCTTTTCAATAATAAATATGTTTCGTTCATATATGCCTATATATTAACAATATTTCCAAATTCAAGTAGGTGTATCTCAGAAATATTGTGTGATAGAAAAAAACTAATGGTATATTTGGATTCAGGACATGTAGATAAGATGCTATTTCTTTGTGGACAAAGAAAAATATTTTTGGATAAACCAGTTACGTGACATTGTTTGCAATTTTTAGTGTATTTATCCCAATACTAAAAAAAGACCGTCACGCAAAAACCATAGGTGATGGGAAATTTCTGATTAGATTTTTGAGTTCAGCATGAAAAGTTACACTAGAAACATAATCAGGTTCTCTTGTGCAAAAATCTTGTTGACCAGTGTAATTTATTCCTATTACACCATTGCATCACGTAGCATAGAATATATTCGCTTAATATTTTGAGATCCTCAACAGACTTGCTCCAGCAAATGATAGAAACGTCGTCTGCGTAGCAAATTATTTCTGCGTTCGGATGTTTGAAACTCTTCAGCAAGTCGTTTAACAAAATAGGCCGATGTAGTGTCAAGCAGTACCTTCCCAATAAACCCGCAAAATATGACATAAAGACTTAAGTGTTATGTTGTTCCCGCAAAAGCTATGTGGTGAATCTTGAAATATACGCTGGCAAGCAATCTGAAGGCCCTTATCAAATAAGTAACTCTCCCAACAATGTTGTTGAAAGACTTTTACCTTCAATCTCCGGGTCAAAACGCAACATATCTACTGACAATTGGTATACCAGTTATCCTCTTGCAGTAGCTCTTTTGAATGACCATAAATTGACCTTTGTAGAACCACTCAAAAAGAACAAAAAATAAATACTACCTGAATTTATGCCAAATCGCGCACGACAAGTGTTTAGCTCAATTTTTGGTTTAAAAAAAATGTCTGCCTTGTATCATAAGTTCCTAAAAGGGGCAAAGTGTCATTATTTTATCTACAATGCACTCAACAGCAACAATTGGTGAAGAGACAAATGAAAAGAAGAAGCCAGAAATGATTACTTTTTACAAAATGACAAAAGGAGTGGACCTATTGGGTCAAAAGACGTTACTCTATTCCGTGGGACGACGTACCAAAGGATGGCCCCTGTGTATCTTTTTCGAACTTTTAAATATTTCTGGAGTCAATTTCCAACTTATTTTTGATGGCAATCAACCCCAAAACATTTACAAAAGAAGAAAGGATTTCCTAAAAGCTCTATCACTTGAATTGGTAACAGAGTATCAATATATTAGGTCTACTACCAAATCCTTTACGAAACCACTTCGAAGTAATGTCCGGAAACATGCTGGTCAGTCACCAGAAACTATGGTAAGTTTTATGTCAAAATATGATTGAAAAATTATCTATAATCGTTTTATATTTTAAGGAAGAAGACATTTTAGAACCTCTTTCAAAGGCTCAGAAAAGATCCATCTTTGTTCTTATAAAAAATATCGTAATACCAAAACATTATGCCACAAGTACCAAAAGAATGTCTGTAAAGAACATTCTATTATAATAGGTAGGCAATGTATGTAAATATTTCGAAAATTTTATCCCAAATTTAACAAAATTGATTTGGTGCCTAAATTTACATTTTAGTTTTTTAAATATTTTAAAATATAAATATCACTCAAATTATCGATTAAAATATTTCAACTGTTAATAGAATAATTATATCATACAAAAAAGTTTAAAAATTATTTTGTTTTAAAAGTGATATTTCACCAGGTTTAAAACACCGGGTGTATTACACCCAGCGCGAGTAGTTACGTCACAAAGGTGAGCGCGAGTAACTAAGGGTTAAATAAATTAATTCCAATTATAATTTTATCAGCGGCCTTTTCACAAGCCACACCAACACATCACGCAACCATCCCACACGGATATAAATAATCCAGGTATAAACCTGTAAGACCTGTTGTTTTTTAAACATCTTAGAGCTATATTGCTTAAATATTCATCGTGACCCATTTTTTGACACAGGGCGGTTTTGCCGGTTATTCATCTCAAAAGAAGGTACCAGAAGAGTTTGAAAATAAGCACTATTTACAGGCGTAATATTTTCTGACTATTACTAATGACAGAAAAGGTAATCATTGCTGATTATTCGGCTAGACAAAAGCATTATATAAATCAAACTGAAATTTTTGTATGTTTGCTCCGCATAGGTTTCCACAATATTTAACCCTTCCGGTTGAAATTGTGACACGATATTGACCTCGTGTTGGAAGGAGTCGCTACCATATTATTCCGATTTGCGTAGTCCGCTTACCGGTTAATGCGTATTCATAATAATTGACTAATTTGGAAGAAACTTAATTCTATAATGTTTTAATATGTAGAGAATAACTGTCACAGTTTCACCCTCGTGTAATGCATAAAATAATCCGATAGCTGGGTAATTAGCATATACCGTTTGTTACACATACGTTTACACAATATATGAGCTATCGGTGTGAAATTTTGATACGATATAGAGTTAAGAATCACTCAACCACGTGATGTGGAAATCAAACCGATACCAGTCTAATTACCATATTTTGTCTGTTTCTCATACGTTTCCATAATATTTCAATTATTCTCTCTTCTCTCCAGGTTAAACTTTAACCTTCCCAAGTGTATTGGGTAGTGTTTAAACGGGTCTTTTGAAAATGTCCATATTCGGGTCATATTCGCGAAGGACTTTGATGATTAAAATTAACTCAGGTACCATTGTTTTCAGAAAACCTTACTTGGTGACGTTCTCTAACTCGTTAAAAAAATCTGATGATCCCTTTTGGTGGAGGCGCTCGGGAATCCACAGCTAGGACTGCGTAAATGAAGGTCTACTTCGCTTTGTGTTTGGGCCCTGAACGTAACAAATATCGTAGTCGTGGACGAAACCTTAGGTTCACTCGACATAGTCTGCCTGATAAGTTTTCAATAGTTTTATGCCATTTG